ATGCCTGATGTACGTTTCTGGTTTCGGCCACCAAGATGTTGCATTGACATTGAATATTGATGAAAATAAATCGAATTTCCGCCAGGCAGCAGAATTTTCCATGGCCAAAGCCGGACGATGCGATGGATCTGCCTGCCCAGCAGCCAAAAAGAAAAAAAAAATTGCCGAGAAAAAAAAAAAACTCTACAATATCTCCATATGTAGAGCTCCRTGTCTGTTTATATTGATTGCCAAATGGTTTGAGCCGGCAAAAAGGGTTCCGGCTGAATACATCTATCTGTTTGAGTGTCAAAATCCCACGATGTGTGTGTATGGGTTGAGTGTAGCTGTGTGCATGTGTGTGTGTGCTGCATTACGAGAAATTTGCGGTTTTAGAGATTCAAAGTTTTGCTAGAAGACAAATGAGTGACAGTCAATATGGCTATAAAGCAGGAACGTGTTAAAGAGATAACATCGGAGAGTGATTGCAATACTATTGGAAAAATATATTTCGAATAATCTAGGGAGTACCTATATTATAACTATAGAAAAGTATTTCTTTGGTTGATCGAGATCTAGCGATCAAAAATCTGCTCAATAAATTAATATTAAAATGTTTAAAATTTGAATGTAGTATTAAACTTTAAATTCTCAATAACATTTATTTATTGACTTATATTGATTATATTAAATGTGCTATAAAATACAGAAAATTAATAATAGTTAAATAATATTAATTTTAATTTATTAATTTTAATATTTTCAAACTTTGATATGTTTCGTTATTCATGCAATTCAAAATAGTCTTCAAATTAAATTTCTCTTCAATGCCATTATTCGTCAGTATAATTGTAAATCTAACAGTTTTCTACTATAAATATATTTTTGTAGGTCTTTAATGATTTCTACTCATTTAAATATTTTACAAGAATTTAATTTCAAATGAAATAGTATATATAATTATTATATAAATATTTGCACTTCCTCAGCTTTTCACCTAAATCTTAGTATATAAAACTTCAATTTCAAATATCGCACAAATTTGCACATTATATAAATATATATAATAAATGCATAAATTTAATAGCGGATTTCCACTCACTTCCTCAACTTTTTAGCCTTAATCTTAATACATCACGCTATATCTACCATCGGATATTTGTAACAAGCGCCAGCCTCCTGGTAATCAATGTGCAATCAATTCAAATTCAAAGCGAAGACTCATAAGCCCATCGTCAAGTGCCTGGCCTCATACATCATTTTTCGATGAAATTTTAAATCGTTGCGCAAACAGCTTTGCAGCAGCCCTTCACTCCCTCGTTCTTTCGTCCGTCCTCGTCCTCATCCTCTCCCTTGCCCTCGCCCTCGCTCACAAATGCTGAAAATTGGCTTTTGATGTGATGCTGGGGCATAAAGCGGCGCAGTTAACACTTGATTTGTATTTAAAAATTATTGACCAATTCATGGTTGCTGATTAAGTTTGTGTTTGTGCTTGTCAAACGGTCAGGTGCAGATGTGGGTGGGCGTGGCACTGGATGGGGCGGAGGCGGAGGCTGTAAGCGCTTGTTTGTTTCAACATTGGCAACCGATTGATTTTTGCAGCCACAAGGCTATGGCCACGGCCACGGGAAATTGCATAAACGCCACACACACACACAGACAGACACGGACTCGGGCCCATATGAAAATCCAATTTTCCAGTGATTGATCATACAAAGAGAGAGAGAGAGAGAAAGAGCAAAAGAGACCGATAGAGAGAGAGAGGGAATGAGCTAGGGACAGAGCGTTGCTTGTGGTTGGAGGTAGTTAACCACACACATGAACACACACATACACACACCAGCACACACACACGTGGCTATATGTCAAGTTGGTTTGTCTGCTGGACCATACGCAAAAATAATGTAATTAAAGCAATGTTTGCATAATAAAAACAAGTAAGAACGTTGCAGTCGGGCGATACCGATTGCAGAAGACTCATTCACAGCCCAAACGCTGTCAACCAGAGTATATAGTGCAATTTTCAAGTCTAGTGCGCAACAAAAAACAGGGCATGATCCCATTTAAAATGGGAAAATCATCGATAGCTATTGCTATGATCATTGCATAATTGCATTCAAATTACATGCATATGTATATAATTTATACAATTTTGACTTTTAATAATATACATGTATTTATATCCATATATTGGATACCGGCTTCAAGCTAGCAGCAGATCAGCGCGATTTTACTATACATGTGCACACACTCATCGTCTATTCTATGCGTACAGACAGAAGCGCGCCTTTTCTCACATTCTTNACGGACAGACGGACAGACGGACAGACGGACAGACGGACGGACAGCAAGACGGACATTGCACAAAACCAATATACTCATTTCACTTTCGTGAATGAGTCTAATTAATATTTGTTGCATTTTGTGCGACGTGCACACTCGCACACACTCAGTGAAAGGTCCAGTCATTGCATTTATGACTCCTGCTCTGTCCTCCTGCGTCTATCTGCTTAACTCCTTTACATGTTTACCTAGGTGGCGGCAGTGGCAGCGGCGTTGTCTGCCCAGCGCTTTATGCGGGCTGTCAAATTCAGACAGTTTGCACACATGATGTACAATCCGCCCTCGTTGCCCTCTCCTAAAATCCCTTGTGGCGTTAAATTCCCCCTGCAAAATCCAGAGATTTGGACTCTATTGCAGCTGCTACTGCTACAACTACTCCTGCTGCTGCTGCTCCTGTTGCTGCCCCTGCTCCTGCTGCTGCTGTCCAGAGCCCGTCTGTTTGTTCAAGTTTCGTTTCAGCAAATTATGTTCGAGCATATGGAGGGGATTTACATTGGTCCGGCAACTGTTAACAAACACTGGACAACACTGACAAACACTCACAACACTGGCGCAACAACACTGCTTCCTGCACACCGGAGGCAGAGTTGTTGTTGTCTGTGTTGATTGTCTGGGCTGTTGCATTCGACGTATGCAAATATTGAAATAAGTCTTAATTGAATACAAATACTCAATTACATTGCGGCACATCTATTTTGTGGGCCCGGCTCAAACAGTTTCTCTTCCAGGCAAACACACACGCACAAAAGCAACTCCACTTCTTTGCAATTTTGTCAATTGTTCCACATTTTTGCTTTATAATTTCAATTTTGTTCATGGTCATAAGTGTCGTCGTCGTCGTTGTCGTCATCAGCCTCATCGTCCCCCCCCCCACCCCTTTTTTTCAATCAGCTAACAGAATGGTTATGGTAATGTATTTTGGCAGGCTGTGCCTGCGTTTGGTAAAAGGGTTAAGGATTAGTCTGTCATATTATGAATGCGGGCTCTATGCTAGACTGTTGTCTGCCGGTGGTCAGACAATTATTTTCAAAAGCAAGGGCAGAGGCTACAGACTTTGTTTAATAAACCTACATATATGCTGGTTACCTTGAACGGAAATGTTGAATTATGCTTTCAAAATGTCATTGGTTTAATATATGAATTAAATGTTTGTTTGTTTATAATTATAAAATGTATAATATTCTTGTGGTACTTTGTTTTATTATTTATAATTTAATTTTTTTATCTTCATTAAATATAAAATTAATTAGTAATTTTTCCTTTAATTTTTTTTTGTATTTTACTTATCAGATATATTATAAATTTTCAAAGAAATAACAAGAATTCCTCTATTTATTTCAATCAAATCGAATTTTAAATGATATTAAAAAAGTGAAAAAAAAAATAAATAAAATAATTGAAAATATGTATTATGCTTAAAACACTTAAAAATAAATTTTACAAAAAAATCTGGTCATGGCCCATGGGGGGATCGAACCCGCGACCTTCGCGTTATTAGCACGACGCTCTAACCAGCTGAGCTAATGGGCCGATGTGAAGATGTGCAGCTCAGAGCAGTACACGAAATGAGCGTGCAACGAAATGTATTTCGAGGCATACACATTTTATTGGCCACATTTTATTTATAAATTATAATTATCTCTCTTTCTGCTTTAACGAGATAAGATTATTCTTAATTTATTTTACTGCTCGTATGTTTATATTTAGTGAACATATTTTTGCTTTTTTTTCTGTTTAGTTGAGTGAAATAAATAAAAACGAAAAATTTGATAAGCAAATTTAGTTTCTGTTTCGTTTGCTATATATGACATAGTTTACTCCGTTTTATTTATTTATTTATTTATTTATTTATTTATTTTATT